TCTTTTCAGAAGCCCAGAAGATGCCCAAATCAGATCAAATCAGTTTATTACAGCCATAAGGCCAGATACAATAAAATATCTAATAGTAGAACTGTTACATACATCTATATCTATATATCTATAACAAAAACAATGAGTATAATAGGATCCAAAAATAAATAAGAGCACATATTATAAAATAAAATAAAAATAATAATATAAAAAGTGATGAATAAATGAGTATCTAAACTTAATTAATGGTGCAACATATTGTGTAGATGATAGCACAAAACTGGGCGATTTGGGAAGATATTTTTGAGTTCTTGTTTGAAAAAAGTAATAGTAAGTAGAAATCACATTCGCTTCTTGGAAATTTCTTCAAGATCGGATAAATGAAAGTCAGTCTAGAGTCCTTATATGGGGAGCAGCATAGTAGCATATGGCTTAGAGTTTCTATTGAGCCATCACCACATAGACATAACCGGAGAGACATAGGAATACCCTTAAAATGTCCAAAAAGGACTGCTGAGGGCAATGCATCCAGGCTGCCAAAAGTGAAGGCCTTATGAAATTTCAGAATCGTGATGGATGATAGATAAGAGGCTGGAGCAAACCCTTTTGGAAGAATCTGATAAATAATGGGGTGTGATACCTTGCTTAAATTTATTTGGAGATCTATATCCCAAATTCATTGTTTGAGGGCAGTTCTAGCATTGTCAAAACCTAATGGGCACAGACTTTCCATAGAGAAGCCCAGTAAATGAATTTTCTAAGTATTAATGGGGCCATCCTTATCTTGGGGTTGTGTTACTGTTCAGTGAACACCCAGAAGATGCCCTGTGTCATTAGATTTTTTTTCTAGTCAGCCCTGCTCTATCTCTTGGCATGTCCACTGCCTTGGTACGTCCACCGCCTTCCCAGGGCACAGGCCACATTTGACCTCAGCAATCCTCCATTCACCACCAAAAGTTGAAATGTTTCTCAATATTCCATGCCTGACGTTAACATCTCCAGTTGCCAGCTTTGGTAATTGCTGCTCGGAGTAAGGCTACCAGGTCTAACCTAGAAAAATCCATAGAACCATTAGATGGCAGCAGAGAGGCAAGAAACTCCTAACCTGGTGCTACAGTCTGTTGTTCATTTGGGTTTTGGCAGACCAGCCCAAGTAGCCCTAACTAGACAAACGACTGGAGGAACAATGAGTAGATGATCCCATTCACCCCATAGTGCAAAATGGTTCATCCTTGCTAATTTTCTCATGCATCTGGCCTTGTTTTAAAGCAGAGGAGCAAGCCAGGTTTTTTTCTTTCTTTCTTTCTTTCTTTCTTTCTTTCTTTCTTTCTTTCTTTCTTTCTTTCTTTCTTTCTTTCTTTCTTTCCCCTTTTGACATGAGAGGAGGCTTCCCCACCCACCAGAACAATACAAAAGCCAAAAACCCCAAGAGCACCAAGAAGGAAGTGCCTGTTTTTAGGAACAAAAAACATGCAGAAAAGAGGGAAGATGGGGGCAGAAGGTGAGGAAGGAAATGGTCATTAAGGGCCTGTCTACTGCGTCCAGTGAGTTTTGATAAACCATCTGTGTCCCCCTCAAAGAAACACCCCCAGACACTTCTGTAATACTCGGTTGACACATACAGCAGCCATCTGTAGAGGCTGCTTAACCATACACAGACACACAATATCTTTATTGTCTACCTAGCAATATTTTTCATATTTGTGCATGGTAGGAGAGTGAAGACTTTTTTCACTTCTTCAGGGGGTGGCTCTGAAGTGATGCATAACTGATCAATAGATCAGGGATGGGTAACTCTTTTGCTCATTTATGAGAATCCTTTAAATTTGCTTTGTTGACACTGATAATTTTTGGGTCCACCCTTCTTGCTTGAAATGTTGCCAAAGTGCAACAGTTTTACAAACAGCTCTCTCTCATTTACTCCATTTTGCCCATATTTTTCTGAATATGTTCTTCTCCTTTCTTCTCCATTTTTATAGACTTTACCTTAATATTCTTTCTTTAAAGAATAGGTGAACTGTATTGCCCAAGCATGAAGAACTATGAATTTCCAAGGACAGCTAAGTTTCAGTTTGCCTATCGATGTGAAATGCAAAATTTAGTTAAGTCCACCCTAAGATGAAAACTAAATGATTTATCCCACCCTGTCTACTTGCAGTAAATACTGGGCAGCTGTTCTGTCTTTGTTCCTT